AGGCACTGCACCACCAGCCCACCTTACTTTAAGCCTAGCAGGATGGCAAAACTGCCTAATCCCTACATTAGGGTTGCATACACTTGTTTGCATAGTCCCACCCCCATAAGAGTACATTGTACCTTATTTACATTATTAACAAGCTGTACAGTCCCCTTCGTGGTCACAAGCACCTCACATTTGCATAGGCCTGCTCAGTCATTTGGTGGGAGTTACAAAGACTATGGCTAGAAGGGCCATAGTAAGTAATTGACAGCCCTACAGTTAAGGACACAAGGCCTGCAGCTAAAACCAAACTCAACTGCCCTCGAGTCAGTTCCAATTCATAGTGACCCTTCCTTGCGGTTCCAAGGTGGTATCTCTATGGAAGTAGATTGCCCAGTCTTCCTTCTGCAAAGTGGCTGGTGGGTTTGAACCACCAACCTTCTGGTTAGCAGTCAGTTGCCTTAGGCACTATGTCACCATATTAAGTAATTGACTGCCCTGCAGTTACTCATGAGTCCTGCAGCTAAGCAGCTGAAAAAGTGGTAAGACTTATAATCCCCTTTGAAGTTCTTTGCCTAGATTTGGACCTTTCCTTTTTTTTAACTCTAGCAAACCTGACCTCAGTGTTTCAAGTATTGCTCTGTTTAGAAACCAGGAACCTTGAATTTTACCCCAAGTAGAACTTTGAATCATACTCTAAGAAGGAAGAGAAAAAAAATCACAAATAAGGCTGTATCTTACAATGGTTGTTCACATTTAGCATAGTTGTCCCTCCCAACCCCACCCCTTGAATTAAGCTGATGTACATAGTATAATCAATAGCCTCTTGGGATCAAGGAAATACAGTCCTGCTTTGGAGAGGGAACTGCCAGATCTCAGGAGGGGCAGAAAATTTGGCAGTACCAGGATCGGCCACTCACCTTGATCCAGGCTTCATTCTCAGGAACTGTGGGATTTTCCACCTCTGCTGCTTTTGTCAGCACATCTGCTCCGTTCTCTTCAAACTTGCCTTTTCTGCATAGTTACCTTGCATGCAGCCCTATATATGACCTGCCCCACCCACCCAGGTCAGCTCCAGCACCCACAGTTCATGCCAGATTCCCTCCTTGCCTTATGAGTCAAATTCTTGGCAGAACTGGGTCAGACTCTTACTTTCAAGTCAGCCATATAGGTCACTCAGCCAGGATCTAACTCAGCTGATCTTGAAACAAGGTCAAGTACACAAGCCCTAGGCTCTGAAGCTCACTCACTCACTCACTTTGACTAATAAATGAGCCAAAGTGCAATTGTAAAAAAGCAAGTAAAGGCTATTATAACAAACGTGTGTGACATGCTCAAGGTACTGGCTAGCAACAGCCCAACTGGGGCTTTCAGTTGGCTTCATCAATGAACTTTAGTCAGTGGAATGGCTGCAGCCAAAACAACATAATGGAATCAACTAATCCTTGGCCTCATGACCAGGTTATAATTGAAGGTGGCAGCTTTTAGTCATTCTGCACTCTGTCAGGCCTCAGAGGCCCATCCCTCCAAGAAGTCTCCCACAGCCCCTCCCATTCCTCACCAAGTTCTGTCTCTGCCATTGGCAGTCTGACTCATGAGGATCTTGACACCGCAGTGTGAAACCAAGTTCTTTCATGTAAAGTCAAAATCCAATGGCAAGACTTTAAGTCACTAACTGAGATTATGCGTCTGCATCCTCCTTGGGAACCAGCAAAGCCCTCGGCACAGTAGGTGGGTGTTCAGTAAGTATCTGTGAATGGAATTCATCTCTGAGGCCAGGTCCCAAATGAAATGTCTTCTCTTCGAGTTGCCTGTGAACTGCTGCACAGCTGGCAGTATTGTGCGTCATTCCTGATGAAATCCCAAATTCTTAAAGGCTTTTCATAGCCAAAGGCGCTCTGGTGGAACAGTGGTTGAGAGCTCATCTCTTAAACTGAAGGGTCAGTGGTTCGAACCCACCAGCCACTCAGCAGGGGAAAGATGAGGCAGTCTGCTTCCATAAAGATTGCAGCCTTGGAAACCCAGTGGGGCAGTTCCACTCTACTACAGGGAGCTCTGCTAGCATAGTGCCTAAGGAACTTGACTGCTAACCAGAAGGCTGGTGGTTCAAACCCACCAGCCACTCCTTGGAAGGAAGATGGGGCAATCTACTTCCATAGTGATACTGCCTCGGAAACCCAAGGAGGGGTCGCTATGAGTCAGGTCCATCTCGATGGCACATAACAACAACAACAGGGTTGCTATGGGTTGGAACTGATGGCAGTGGGTTTGATTTTGGCTTTAACAGCCATAGCCTGGACTTTGTTTTGGATAAGTAAAAGTATTTATTGGTTTCAAAATCTTCACCCAATACTAAAAGCACCCTGGTGGTGTAACAGTTAAGTGCTCAGCTTCTAACTGAAAAGTTGGCAGTTAAAACCCACTAGTGGCTCCGTGGTGTAGTTCCTAAGGCACTTGACTGCTAACCAGAAGCCTGGCGGTTCAAACCCACCAGCCACTCCCCGGAAGGTTGGGCAATCTACTTCCGTAGTGATACCACCTCGGAAACTCAAGGAGGGGTCGCTTTGAGTCGGATCCAACTCAACGGCAGTGCTTTGTGTTCATGTTGTAGTGAATCCATGGGAGAAAGACCTCTAGTCAGCTGCTTTTCTGTAAACATTACAGCCAAGGAAACTCTTTGGGACATTTCTACTCTGTTGCATGGGGACACTTTCAGTTGGAATTGACTTGATGTCTCCTAACAAAGAGGTAGTGGGTTTGGTCAGTTAGATCCTTCTTTACCAAAGACCTGCTTCAATTAGAAGAAATACGGCTGGGGACAGCCACCTTTTGTGAGGGAAACTGGCCTAAAAGGCCTGTTCTCCTTCTCTCCCCAAGCCACGTGGACTGACGCATTTGTGCTGCTGCAGCATTACCTGCTGTTCCTAACTCATTCCTAACTCTGAGATACCTTCTGCTGCTGCTCAGTGTTACCTTTCCCTAATGCCTCTCTCCCTCTTGTCTTCCTGTGCTCCACAGACTAGCACAATATTAAGAGACTGCCTGTGATAGTTAAGGTTGTTGTCAACTTGGCTGGGCCTGGTTGAGTGGTTGGGCAGCTGGATATAGTTATTCTCCATGATGAGACCGGCAATCAATTCCATGGTGGACTCTCCTGGAGTAGCTGAGTCTCTGCTTTAGGGGTGTAGTCTGCTTACAGTATATAAGCAGCAGCTTTGAGGAAGATCCCCAGCTTTTTGGCATGCTTGAACTTTGCATGCAGCCAAGTCGTTCAGCAGCCTGCCATGCCCTGCCAATGTGGGGACTTCTGAACTTGAATTAGTGGCCTGCTGTGTTGTGTGGTAACATTGGGACTGTGACTTTTTGTCCACCTTGGGCTTGTTAGCTTCAGTAGCTAGTAGCTGCCTGAGTGAAAAGATGCCTTTAGCTTCAGTGGGCCAGAAGCAAGAGGCAGAGCTGAAGCCCAAGGTCAAGGAGCTTTTACCCAGTCCCTAGAGCCTGCCACCTGGAACTCAGACTTCTAACCTCCAAAATTATAAGAGAATAAACTCCTGTTTGTTAAAGCCATCCCATTTGTGGTATTTCTGTTAAGAGCAGCACTAGGTAACCAAAACATTGCTCTTCTGGCCTCTTTAACTACCTTTTCCCATTGCCCCCTCGGTTCTGGCATTAAAGCCCAGGCCCATCCAGGCACATGGTATTGCACCGAGAACTGCTTATGGTCCTGTGAGGCACAGCCACCAGCCTAAATGCAGCACTCACCTCACATCGTAGGTCACTGTCCCTAGCAGCATTCTGGGCCATTGTGTGCACTGATGTCCACCCGCACACTCCAAGGAACCACCCTGTCCTGTCCTGAGAATCATCAGTTGACCCCACTACAACACAGCACACAGATTTCCATTTTGGACTCAACTGTTGAACTAAAGTTTAGAGCAAAGCATTCATTGCAGCATTTATTATGCAAAATAGTATGGCTTTAGCAAACCAGTATAAGTTAAAACCAAGCAGAGCCAATAGGGTTCTTTAATTACACAGTGATGTTCCAGAAAGTCCACTGAGGTTTTGCCTGTTGGGCCACTGTCCGCTGGGATCTTTATAGGTCGGAGTAGTCGTCCCTCAAGGCCTTCACAATGATAGGTTTGTCTTTCAAGCAAAGTATGAGGTAAACCAAGTGCTTAGAAAAGAACATGAACTTGCTCTCTCCTCTCCACCGCCCTTGGTTCATACTCTCTAATGGCATTTACTGTGCTTTTTATACCAGTTTGTTTACAATTCCTTTCCCCTATAAGAGTGTGAGCTCCATGAAGGCAAGGGCAGCCTTGTTCGTCCTTCGATCCCTGAAGTTCCTTGTCTCAACACTAGCCGACCCGTGGTTCCCTCTGCCCTCGACTTCCTGCCTCCCTCCCTTAGCCACCTCCCTTAGCCATTGCAGACTTGCCTAGATTCTTCCCATCTTCCCCTCTGCCTGGACTTTTTACAAGTAGACACAACAGCCTGCTCACCTCAATTACAAGTTACCCTGAAGTAAGGGGCAGGTTGACAACAGAAGCCAAATTTACAGCAAAAGTGAAGCACTCAAATGCTGGCAAAGCAGGACAGACTATTAGGATATGTAACATTTGGGGTTTCTCTGGGGACTTTACAAGGCACAGTCCCAGCTGTGAGGTGCAGTGCCCATTTCCTGGGTAAGAGCACTGAGCACTGGCAGAGGGGCCACTACAGTTGCTAGCAAACCAGAAGGCCCAAAAACATGCCTGATCACAACTGGCTCATCAAGGACAGGGCCATAAACCCCACAGGACATACTCCTGTAGAATTAGAATCCAGGGACAATGTTCAGTGACATTATGACAGTTTAGATAGGACCAAACGTTAAAACTTGAAGCATCCTATTCGTAGAAACTGGTGGCCAAGCAGTGTGAGTGAACTGGGTTGTAAAATGCTGTATCCTGTGTCTTCAACGATTTGGGTGTCTGCAGGTTGGCCTGTTGAATGGTAAAATCCCCGAGCTGTTAGCGAGGGGGCAGGGCCTGCATGTGGAGGGCATCATAGGTGTCTTTGGTGGCCTTACTGAGCCCCTGTTGAAAGCAAATCAGAAGAGAAGCGTGAGCCAGGACCCCTGTGTAGCCAGGAGCCTCCTGGAGGCCTTAGCTGTCTCCCCAGCCTAGCCCCTGACCTCCCAGCTTCCAGAAACCCAAAACAATCCTCACAGCTCACAGGTGGAGAGGCTGCACCACAAGAGCCCTGGTGGAAATGGCCTTAGAGCAACTCATTCCCAGCCAAATTCTGACCCTTCCTCCTAGCTCCCCAAGTGCAGTGCCTGCAGTGCCTTCAGTGCCTGGGCCCAGTCTACTTCCTATCTGACCAAACGGGAAGGAGCCATCCCTAGCCCCCAGGACTAAGCTGGAATCAGTGGGTGATGGGCCCAGGCCTGCTCCAGAGGATCTGCTGCTCCTGAGGCCTGTGCCTGAAGAAGCCTGGACTTGCCACAGCGAGGGAGTGGCGCTTCCTTCCCAGGCCTCCCTGTGAGAGGAAGACTCTTTATCAGCGATCATACAGGCAAGGCTGGGCCAGAAGAAGGATCAACAGCAGCTCCAAACCAAACCTGCAGTCAAGTCAATTCTGACTCAAAGCGCCAAAACAAAACGAAAAACCCAAACTCACTGCCGTCGAGTCAGACCCGACTCATAGTGACCTCTCCTCGGGTTTCTGAGGCAGTATCACTACGGAAGTAGATTGCCCAGTCTTCCTTCCAAGGAGTGGCTGATAGGTTTGAACTGCCAGCCTGCTGGTTAGCAGTCAAATGCCTCAAGTACTACACTACCAGAACTCCCACTCATAGCCTCACACAGGTAAAATTCGGGTAGCACTTTTGCTATCACAGTGAACTCAGGCAAGCCCAGCATTGTGCCACTCTGGGATGAGTCCAGGGAACACCGAGAAGCCCAGGGGAACAAGAAGCCAGAAGTGAGGGCCTGTGGGGAGTACAGGGTCCAGAAGTAGATCTGCTATGCTTAATTTGCATAATTATTTGCACTGATTTTGTATAAAACAAGCTCTTGACTACAGTAAGGTTTCTTTTTAAAGTGTCATTTTCTTCTTCTCAGCACCCCTTACTCCCCTGCCTTCAATCTTCCTGCCCGTCATCCTATTCTTATTAAGTCTGGGGATGCAAGGCAGAGGACAGCTTCTGGAAGGGTCAAGCTGTGGACAAAGGGGCCTAAAACCCCGTGTGGTTTCCTTTCACCATATCTATGCATCTGTGCCAGATGACAGCCTCCAGCTGCTTTTGTCTGTTGTGCCCAAGCAGTGCATGGGGCCATGTAGCCTCCCATGGAAGCCAAGGGATTGCTTGAACTGGGGAGTCCCAGCCGTGCCCTAAGGACCTACTGGCAGTGGCACCACCACAGGACTGAATGGGTGGCCCAAGGCTTGCCCTGCCCACCACTGGAAAAAGCTGGTGCCACCAATTAGCCTCAAGTGGGAGCCTTGTGGGTGCCCTTTATCAGCCACCACCTCCCCGGGAAGGAGGGACGAGCACAGGTCAGAGGCCTATAGCCACTCTTACCTGATAGAGACCATCGTGCCCTTTGCCTCTCCGCCGCTGGTATTTTGGGAATGAAAAAAAAAAAAAAGGGTCAGTGATTCAGGTAGTCAGTAGTTGCATTCCTAGTGAAGGGCCCCACTCCGGGTCCCCCAGAAAGTCAGAAGTGACTATCTCCCAGCTGGCACTCCCACCCTTGGGAGAGAAGGGTCCTTAGGCCACTGGTTGACCTTGGCCTCTCAGGGTACACTGCAGTCTGGCTCTGATCAGGACTGTTTGTTCTGCCTGGCTCAGACCCTCCTATGGAATCAGATTCCTAGGATTTGGGCCATGCTGGGGTCTGGCCATGTTGGCCACCATTTGGAATAAATGGGCCTCCCTCGCAGCTTTCATAATTCTTGGTGATTCACAGGCACAGAGGCTGCAGAGGCAGTGCAAATCCTGGCTCCCCCGTCACTAGCTATGTGACCATCCTTAACCTCCTCGTGCCTTGTAGCAGCTGCTTCATAGGGTCATTGTGGGACTTAATAGCAGTGGCAGGCCGACCTCATGGGCTGAGATGGGTTGACTGCTCTGCTCTCACTGTGCTGACATTCTGAACCACTTAGTGAACACAGGACCTGAATCTCAGTTGCCTTTGGTCCCGAGGTCCTGAGCGCACAACACGTCTGGCGCACAATTAAGTGCTCTGCAATTACTGTTATTAATGGTAACAGGTTTGACCTGCTTTTGCAAAGCTTAGGCTGTTTTATAATCTAGATTTGGTTTTTAATCCTAAAAGCATCAGCCCTTCCCTAGTATCTCTTGCACTGTCAAAATGGGTGAGAGCTGGATCAGCCTTTGCTTTAGGTGGCCACCACATGGGCTTTACGGGTGCTATGAGGACTGGATGGGAGTGTATGCCGATGGCAGGCAGATCTGCGAGACTCTGAGGGATTCCCTTGGAGCAACCATCTGCACCAGTCTTTGAAAATTAAGAAACAGTGACACTTACCTCGCCCTTCATCCCAATCTCACTGTAGGCCTCTGCCATCTTGTTTTTCTGCAGTGCCTGGAGAAGAGGGAGTGAGAAAATGGTTTTACTAACTAATGCAGAAAACAGTGGCTCCTCTACAAGAAGCAGCCTCTTGATTCCCAGTTGGCTGGGGCTCCCACAATCAAGGCTCTGAACCTTATTTATATAACAACTCTGCCCACAACCAGTTCCAACCACGCCCCCCTCCTCAGCCCTTAGCATCTTCTCTGGGCTGCCAGCCTTTTGCACTAAGCAGAGATGCTCAGGTTAGGCTCAAAAAGATAGGACACAGATATCGGACAATATAAGGGACAACCCCCGAAAAAAAAAAAAAACACATTGCTACTAAGTATTCTATTTCATGGCAACCTCATGTGTTACAAAGTAGAACTGCCTCATAGGGTTTTCTTGGCTGTCATCTTTACAGAAGCCGATGACCAGACCTTTCTTCCATGGTGCCACTGGGTTGGTTCAAACTGCCAACCTTTATTTAGGTTAATAGTTGAGAGCAAACTGTTTGCACCACCCAATTTGAGCAAGTTGTCTCTTCACACAGCTAACACAAGCTATGGATCAACCGACTGCATGAGGGAAGAAGAAGAAGCTCCCTTCACAGTAGCTCACTGCCTGGAAGGTGCTCACCCAGGATGGAGTTGGGACGGTTGACCTTTCAGACAAGAGAAATACTGAGCAGAATATCCAGGAACAGGAGTCCCTCAGAGGCACTTACCTCCTCCTTCTCCTCAGACTGCCCTCCTGTGGAACTCCAGCCACAGATCTAGGGCTGAGGGAGGGAAGGTATGGGAAGGGGAGAGAACTCCCCATTTTTCAACTATGAGGCCCTTCTATAAGCAACTGCTACTGCAGGCAGCTAGCAGGGGAGGCCTTATTTGGCTCCGGGGAAGGGAGGTCAGGCCGTACACAGCAAAGTATGGAGAAAGGGCTTCTCCAGGACTCTCTTCCAACTCCCTCTCCAACCATCTGAAGTAAAATGTGAGAGTTTCTCTACTCACATTATACACGCCTTCCTGAGGGTTCTTTCTCCTCTGCTAAGAAACAAAAAAGAGAAGTTAGAAGCTGAGAAACGCTAATTCAGGAATTGCAGTAGTCCCCCCTCTCCCCTTCTGCCATCAGCCTGGCCTTTCTCCTCCCTGAGCCTTGCTGCCAAAGACCAGCCTCACTGACCTGTGTCTCAAACTTCTTTGCACACTGGCGCCCTCTGCAGGACAGGGCCTCTGAAGAGCCTACCCAGTCAGGGGCTTAGCCAGAGCTGATGGCTTGTCTGGCTGCCCCTAGAAGACACAGCCTGGTTCCTCAGCCTAGTACACACCTGACCATCAGCCTTGTACTCTTGTATCACAAGGTTACAAGTGACTTTTTGTTCCTGTTTTCCCAGAAATGTGGCTGAAGATGAAAGGTGCTGAGCACTCCTCATTTAGAGCCAGGGTCAGCTACTCTTCAGTGGGTCTTACTGAGAAGTACCATAAAACAACAGCTATACCACCACCTTTCCCACTTCCTCCTAGTCAGGATAAGAAGAAGAGAGGGCATACTTTGAGGTTGGGGGATGGGGAAGGGAAAAAACAGTGACTCTTAGCCTGCCCATTCACTCCAGCAACCCCACATGCAGCACTGGGCTCAGAGAGCCTGGGAGGGAGCTGGCAGACAGGTATGCACTGGAAACACAGAGGTTACTGAGCAGCATCAGGGAGTACTGACCTCAAACCTGGGCAGCCCAGGCCCCTGTCCTGGGCCCTGCTCTGTAGAGGGCCCTGCTCTGGTATCATCCAACTGTTCCTCTCCCCACAAGGTGAGGGACCCATGGAACTGAAGGGACAGAATTGTTGGAGCCACACCATGCTCCAGGGGCCTTGGCCCCTTCTGCATGGAGCTGATCCCCAGGTCTCTTCTGCTGGGGGCAGGCAGTGCCACCTTGTGTACATTTCAGGGTGGCCAAGAAGCAGCTGTTCCATCAGAGGGAGGAGGGGGATGGAGCCTGGATAAGTGGGCAGGGATGCCACACTCATGCCTGTGAGGCCCCTCATGGAGCCAAGAGGGAAAGAAGAGAAGAGGAAGGAAGAGAATGTAATGGGGTCTCTGCTTGTCCCCTTGCCCCAGGCCCACCCATGTTAGGGTCAAGGCTGGTGGTAGGGTGTGTGCTAGGGCTGAGGGGCTGCCCCTTCTCTGCACAAGCTGAGCACCTATCTTCCCAATTGTCCCCCCCACCCCACCCCCCCAAAAAAAACCCACTGCCATCGAGTCAATTCCAACTCAGAGAGACCCCACTGGGTTTCCTCGAAGCTGTAAATCAGTCAGATGCCTTAGGCACTGTGCTACCAGAGCTCCTTCCCAACCCCCAGAGGCACACAAATTCCCTACTTGTTTCTCTCCCATCTCAGGGTCCCGGGCCCGCATCTTATCCAAAACATCGTACTCCTCTCTTCTTCCTAAATTGAGCTCCTAAAACAGACAGAAAAATGTTAGAGAAGTCCAGGCTAGGTTCCAGCAGAGAAAGGGAACCACAGGAGGTAGTCTCAGTTTGTTTCCCACTGGGTAGTATCTCAGTGAATGAGCATGGACTGTGTGTGTGTTTTTGTGTGTGTGTGTGTGTGTGTGTGTGAGAGAGAGAGAGAGAGAGTGATTATGTGCATGAGTTGGGTGGGTTCGAACCTGCCAACCTTTCAGTTAGCAGCTGATTCAGACAGCTTGTCACCCAGGGACCTCATCCTCCTCTAGCCTCTGCAAGTGGCTGCTTTGTTGGGGGCTCACTAGTAGTGTCAGGTACTAAGTGCTTTTCATACATCAATTCATTAAATCATTTAATCCTTACTGCAATCCCATGGGGAAGGCCCAATTACTGTCCCATTTTACAGGCTATATACTGACCCTTAAATTGGTTAAACAACTTGCAGGGGCACGGAGCTGATAGCTGCAGAGCCAGACCCCAGACCTAACTTGTGACCCGTTTTCTTCCCACTGAGTTCCCATAGAAAACTTGCACTTTCTCTCCGCGTGATCTGCAGGGGAGCTGACTTACATTGTACACCTGGTTAGAGCCCTGCTGGTAAGCGGGCACGTCTGCGCTGCTGCCTGCGAACTGGAAAAGAGGAGCAAATACTGTCATTCCAGTGCCCCGCCAGAAAGCTTCACCCCAGCCCTTGACAGAAAAGTAAGTCACGCCCTACCCGCTGGCCGCGTGGCACCCCTTGTCTCCTCCCGCCGTGACAGGAGCATCCACAATGCTGGCCCAGGACTGGCTGGGGTGCATGTGACCACCGCTAGCACACTTGCACATGCGCGGAAGAACCCAGTTTGTCGTCCAGGGTCGGTTTTCCCCAGATGCTGAGGCCAGTCGCAAGTGGACAGTGACGGCACAAGATCCTCCCTCCTGTCTTGACCCCTAGGGCAGGGTGCGTCCAGCTCTCTCCCTCTTGCCGGAGGCACCGTAGCTGGCCCAGCCCAGAGAAGCCTGGCGCTGGCTCAGTGCCCTGATGCTCTGCCCACGTTCTACACAGTCAGCCTCCCTCTTTCTTCAGTTCATTCCACCTCACTCAGAGAAGCTCCAAGCCCTCACAGATTCAAAGCATTGGAAACAACTTAGAGAGTATCTGGGACACTATTTTTTCAAACTTTAAAGATGAAAATCAGTAAAGTTCTCTTTTTGGGTGAAATCCTGAAGTGATGACAGGAAACTGGAGCCTCCCCTTTCCCCTAAAACCTTCCACCCTCTGACCACCCAACCAAGCTGCTCCAAGAAATGCAAGATCTGCAAGATACCAATTGAAAAACTATGCACTGGGCCAACCCTCGTGTTTCCAAGAATGAGGAAACAGAAAGGCTGCCATGGCTTTGGTCAGCAGCCAGGCAGCATGACCTGGGAGGAGCCCTTGGGTCAGCCACCTCCCTGTTCTTATTTGCCTGAAGCAGAAGCCCCTCTCCTAACTGTCCACGGCACCCTGCCCTGGTCATTCTGATGTGCACACATGTGTATGGGCGTTCACAAGGTGCCTGCACCAGGCCCTCCTGCCTACCTTATTTGCTCAGTTAGCGCCCCCACCCCACCCCAGCCCACTCTCTGTGTACCTCTGATGATCCCTGCTCTGCCCAAAGACACCAAGCTTTAAGCACTAACCAAGCTTGAAGCTGACCTTCCACAGAGTGGTGGAGCCCATGCCCTCGAAGACCCCCAGTGATACCCACCTTGGCTCTCAGGAACAGGGCAGTGACAACGACGCCGTAGATGAAGAGGATCCCGTCCAGCAAGTAGCAGAGTTTGGGGTCCAGCAGGCCAAAGCTCTGTGCCTCTGTGCCAAGAGATGAGACTGGTCAGCCAGGCCCAGAGTGACACAGCAGTCCTCATCACTCAGGGTGGCCTTATGACCGACTGTGGCCAAGAAAGTCATGGCAAGGGAGCTGGAACGTTTGCCCCTTCTCACAGCAACCTTCCCCTGCTGGAAACTTCCTTCTGGCCAGCTCCTAGAAAAACCCAGCCTGCTCCAACAGCTACCAGATCTCCCAGCTTCCAACAGCAGACCTGGCACCTGATGGGGCCATGGAGCCTGGGAAGGTGGGAGGAGAGTGGAAACTAGGCCTTCGTGAGGAACTGCTGTGGAAAGTGTAGCTGCCACCACAGCAGAGCCTCTGCATCTGCCTGGACAGAGCCTGAGGGCCCAGTTCTGTGTGAGGCCCCTGCATGAACCACATCCCCTGGAAGCCAATGCAAGATGCCCACATCTCCATGAATGCTCCCAACCAAATTACTGAGGCCTTTTTGCAGAGCAAGAGTGAGCCCCATGAGGGCAGGATTCTAGGGGGCTGGCAAGGATGGGCTCACAGATTTGATGGTCAAATG